TGTGCAGTCACCTACAGTGGCCCTGTCCAAACGCCCACCACAGGAGGACACACGACTCATGTGCTTTTGGATAACGGAAAACCGTGCAGCAGAGAGAATGATAACACAGCTGCATCCAGAGGAGGAATATCACCCCCAGGATGAACAGAAACAGCTTTGCAACTCTGTAATGATACGAGAGGGAGAAAGAAAGTCGGATAGATGGAGATGAGCCACATCAGGCCAAAGACAAAGAATCCAGTCTGTCAGGAAACAGAACAACAACATCACCTGCAAACGCTTCATGCCATAAAAATGGACTAAATAAAAAATATGAATTCATTAAAAGGAAATCTTGAAAATTATAAAACAATGAAAGAATGAGAAAGGATATTTCAAAGCTAAGAAGATGAAGATAACATCTTTATAGGACTAATAAAATTATAAACAGCAAGAATAAGACATCAGGAAGGAAATTAATATTGAAGATATGGCTTGAAAGAATCTCAACCACGGGGCTGGGGCTGGGGCTGGAGCTCAGGGGCAGAGCGCTTGCCTCGCACGTGTGAGGCCCTGGGTTCGATCCTCAACACCACATAAAAATAAATAGATTAATTAATTAAAATAAAGGTTTAGAAATAAATAAGAATCTCAACAACAGCAGAGAACAGGACAGAGGGTTAGAACAGCTTGAGAAGGTGACAGCTTCCAAGACAAAGATGACCCAATACAAGGAGAACCGGTCAAGCCCCAGGGGAAGCCAGGTGGGTGGACGGGGGTGGGGGTGGTTCCCAGAACAGGACCCTTGTCTGATGGAAGGAAGAGTGAATCTGCCACCAAAGGCCACAGTGTATCCCAGAAAACCACCTCCAAATCCTCCATGCTGGGACATGGCTTAGTTTGGCTTTTTAAATTTCAATGATGGTGGGAAAATGCTTTAAGCATCCAGGTAGGAAAAGGGAATCAGCTACATTCGGAAAGAAATCAGGTGGACCCCAGGCTCCTCGCAGCGACAGGAGGCTAGAGACAGCAGATAAAACATTCCCGACTTTATGAAGGAAACAGAGTGGGATGCAGAACTGTACCCAGCCGAGTTGTTGTTCAAGGATAAAAGCCTCAAATGTGGAAAAAACAAAGGGAGTACAGCCCCCTGAGCCTCTCCTAGGAAATGGCCCAACTATGAGAGGCAGCAACCCACACAGTCAGTCAAGATGAAGACCCGGGAGGGCCACGCGTGGGTGAGCCCAGAACTAGAGGGGCGCAGAAACTCAGGCCGTGGCAGGGTTGTGGAATGTGGCTGTCATAAACTCTGGGCATCCTGGGGCGGGGCGGAGCCGGGGAAGGCTGGGGGCCGTCGCTGAGCTCCCTGGCGACAGCCAGCCCGATGCCCATGCCAGCCCTGGGGACGGGCTTCAGAGGCAGACGCCTCTGGCTCACCCTTTGAGGAACTACTCTGTCTCTGTCTGTCTGTCTCGTGGGAAAGAACTCATCCAAAGTCCAGACATGTCCTGGGCTGCGCCCGAGGACAGCCTGGCAGGGTTAGAGCAGGACCCTGAGCTCCAGGTGGCTCATGGCAAGTCACCTCTCCGCCTCCTGCCTCTGCTTCCTCACCTGAAGGTGGAGAGGACAGCCGGGCCTGACACACAGACCGTAGGAGGGCTGCATACTCGGGCCTGGGCAGCCTGGGAGAGGCTGGTCACCACCGCAGTGGTGTGCCTGCTTTTCTTCTGAGGAGCCAAGGACATTTAAAATAAATATGCTTTGTTTTTCAAAAGGCGCATGATCCTCTTATACGATCATTTCCATCTGTGAGTCTGCCCACCCAGTGCCCACTGATGCAGTGCCCTTCTCTACATGAACAGGAAGTTCTAGAACAACGCTCACTGAAGGCTGCCGTCAGTGTTTCAGAATTGCACACATTTCTTGCAATGGGCATGCGTTCTATAACGGTCATGTTTTTATGAAAACAATAAAGCTGTTAACAAGAGCAACCTGGGAAGACATGTCTTAGCAAACTACCAACGGACACTCAGGTGTCGCTTCTCTAAACTCCTTAGCAACACTGGCTTTGTTAGTTTTTTCTTCATTGAAATTTTTCTATTGAAAATTTCATATTGACAATTTGGGAGTTTCTGTATGTTAGGAACAGTGATATTATATTTGTCACTTATGTTACATGGATTTTGCCACATTTACCTTATGTCTACACAAAGTTTTGCTGTATACAAGTTTTCGTTTTCATATTTTTTTCTTTATGGCTTTTGGGCATTACTTCATGTTTAAAAGATGTTTTAAATTTCAAATTAAAAATGTTTTCACCCAGGCTTGGAGTATAGTGTAACGTTACAGCATTTCCCTAATGTGGCATGATCTCCAGCATAATAAAAATTTTTAAAAAACTAAATTATATTTTACCCACATTTATCATTTTATATTTAAATGGCTCATGCTTATAAAATTTATTGTTGGGAAAGAGTAAGTATCTCAATTACAGTTTTTTAATGATCCAACCCCTGCCCCCACTATCTTGTTGAAATGCCGAATATCATCTGAGAAGTTTCTGTACATAGATGGACCTAGTATCCAGCTCATCTTTTAAATCCATCTGAATGTTCATTGCTGCACCCACGCCATACTGTCTTAATTATTAAGCCTTTATAAAACATTCTGTATGTGGCAAGACAAGTTCTCTATTATAATTATTCAAAAGAAATAAGTATCCAGGCATTAATAGCAAATCTCCCAATCCCAATCAGGAAGAATCTCTGCATTTATTCAAATTTTCTTCTGCTACTCAATCAACCTGTGTCTGCTCCTCCTGTGAGTGTTACATAGTTCTTACTAGAATCGGTGAGAGTGACACAGAGAATGGACTTTAAAATCGACTTCTTATCACCACCACTGTGGTCAGTGCACAGGAATTACCAGGGGACGGCGGAGGTCTCCGGTTGCAGGAGACGGAGGTAGGATCAGAACCGACCTGGGAAATAATGTCTAGCACTAACAGTTTTCTGGGTCATCTTCCTGCTCTGTTTCTCCTTCACGCACTTCTGCGGCCTTAGGAGAACACTCACCTCTCTGCAAAACGTCCTTTCAATGTCATCCAAGGAGCAGTTGTCCCAGATGCTGTCAGAAGCCACGAAGCTGGGCAAGTGCTCCCTCCTGGAGAGCTTAGCTTGTTGATTCTCACGCGGGATCTCTGATAGAAAAGAACGAATGAAAAGCTTTAGTTTATTCACATTGTCATTTAAACATTATTTAAAGTACATTTAAACATTATTTCATTTTCATCATCGCCTGTTTGATAAGAGTAAGACTTGAATAAACAAAGAAAATGATGAGCCATCTAATAAACTGTATTGAAATAGCTGGATGAACTGTTTAGAAAAAAAAAGTCAGTCTTCCACAGGCTACTCTAGGACCAGTTCTAGACAGAGTGAAATGCACACTGAGCAGAGTAATAAAACCACAAATGTAGTAGAAGAAAATTATGATGACAATTACATAATATATAACCTTTGTGTGAAGACTTTCCAAAGAAATCATTAAACCAGAAATCATTTAAATAATGGATAGGTCTGACAATATAAATATTTAATTTTTGTTTGGTTAAAAATTCACACAAATAACAGTGAAAAAATTGAGTGGGGAAAAGCTATTGTTAACATACATGAGAAATATAGGTCAATTTTCATAAAATATGTTTCTTTTATGAATCAATAAGATAAATATAAATATTCAATAGATTATCTGTCTCTAACTCACTTCAAAAGAACTAGAAAAAAATCCAGTAACTGTATGAGAAGTGCCCAAACTTTTAAAGTTTTTAAAATCTAATTAAACCAGTTGGTATTTTTTCCTGCTTTTCAAATAGGCAAGGATGAAGGGCTGATAAGGACCAGTTCTGCTGAGTGCGCCCAGCATCCTCAAACCCTTCCCCATACCCTGGGCAAGTGGGGTAACGGCACAGGTGACCAACCTTACACGGGCCAGGTCACCCTGCACTACTTATAAGGGGAAAAAACGGAAACGGTCCAGATGCCCAGCAAAGGGGGCAAGTTGTGTGAAGTCGTGGCTCACGGAGCCTGGAGCCTGTGTAAGGGCACACGGTCGCCGGCCCCCAGGACGCAGGGCTAATTCGTGACCGCAGAGCTTCTCTGTGCTGCCTACTGTGTCACGATGGGGAAAAAAGACAATTTAATTTTCCATCCACACCTCTATGGAGGTGTCAGGAAACAGAACCCAGGGCACACATGCCGGAAGGAGCGCAGAGGTGGGGCTCAGGAGGCAGGATTTCAGGGGATTGTCATCTTGTGGTTTGTATTTTCTGACTCTTATCAAACGAGTGTGTGTTACTTTTATGATAAAAAAAAAGAATAAAATAAATCTAAAATATAGCCATTTTCTTCCTCAGAGTCGACTGCAAAGAATCACAAATGGTTTCCCAGATTTATTTCCTAAAATGTCTGCATTCAGCCCACTCCATCCAGCTGCCGCTAGGTCTGCCCGTCACTGGGACTCTATCTCCAGCTCCAAAAAAAGCCAGAAACAAAGAAAGCCAGCCTCCCGCAGCGGGGCCCTCCGGGTGGCCTCCTGGGCTCAGGGCTGCTCTTCGCAGGCGGCAGTGGACAGGGTCCTCAGGATGGGGGGTCCCAGCCCCCAAGCCGCAGCACCCCTGGCCCAGCTCACCCGGCTGCCCGGCTGCCTGGCCCTTCATCCTGTTGTCACTCCACTTGTGATTCACAGGGACGGGGACACACGGACACACGGACACATGGACGGACGGACGGACGGGCGGGCAGCCTGTCATCTGGGAACTCGCCCTGGCCGGCAGGACCCAGGGCACCCTTGGTTATGCCAGGTCCCGTTCCCCAGTGCAGCCTCGTCCTTCCTGCCACCCTCTGGCTCCCCGACACTCTTTCTGAAGGACTTTTTTCCACTGCTGGGGGTGGAAGCAGGACCTTCCATGCGCCAGGCCAGAGCCCGACCACCTTTCGGAAGGATCCCCGTCGGTTCCAACAGAATAAAGAAGTCTTTAGTGGCTGAGCTCTGGTCTAGGTGTGGTGAAGCAAAGCGCCCGAGTCACCTCCTCATGTGACCAGACAGATATAGTGGTGGCCTGGCAAGGACCAAGCATCCCCAAGACAGAAATAAGCAGAGATAGTAGAAAACACCGTTCCACGTTCAGAAAAGTCGAAGGTAAGGCATGCTGCCACCAGAGACCACCCCACAGAGCTGAGGACAGCACCGAATCCCTGCACAGCGCCTGGCAGATGGACCTTACAGGACATTTCCTCCCCAA